GAGCCGTCGTGATGTCTACCATCGAATTTGAATGGTTTGTTTGCATTGTTTTACTGCATTGCTAGCCAACGCGCGCTATGTATGCTGCTACATGGAGGGAGGGTGAGAGAGATAGAGGAGACAGGGACGCTCGGGAGAGACCACCGGGATAGGAAGAGATGCAAACTGAGGGAGCGAACACCGCGGCTATGTACCGTACACGAACGTATACGTCGCTAACACCTGGAGACAAGGGCAAAGGGAAACGATGATCGTCGGGAATGTTGAATAGACGGGGACCGCATACGAAACCCAAAACCCAAGCCACTGACTGACTGCCGCTAAGGACGCTTTACATAGGTACGTAGAAATCACAGACGGCGACGCGTCGATGTAAGGTATATCTAATGTGTTGCTAAAACCGATACGTTCAGGCGCAGGCAACGAACGTTGGGACCGAGAACGAGAAGGGAGACCGTGGGCGGGGATGGCTAGGAGTGGTGACTGCGGATGACGGCGCAGACCTCGAAGCGCGAGAAGAGGGTGCGGCCTGTGAGAACGGGAACATGAGGACGAGGGCGACGGGGTTAGCCCTTGGATAAGGATAGAGAGTAAGTGTGCTCCCGAGACGGCGCCGGAGGAGGAAGGAAAGCGAACGAGGCGTTTAAAGGAGAAGAGTCATACATAACCAGATAACAACTGCGTCGCGACACAACAAGGAAGACAGGACCCACACGGGTGCGAGGGGAGGAAGATGTGAGGGTCGAACAACGGCAAGGAAGGGAAGGAGGGTGTGTGACGACATTCATGTCGTCTGCGAACCGCGTTTGAACTTGTACAGCCAGCCGAACGGATGTCCATATGATCGACGAAAGGAGAGATTAAGAGAGCAAGGCAAGGAGAGCTGAGTCCTACTACCTGTTAGGGATCCCGCCGTCAGGTACCATCCTTAATGGCAACCGCTGTGCATCCGCGGCTACGCAACATGCACATTAGCAAAAACAGCGGTACGCAGAGCAGTGAATACTCACTATTTTCGTAAACGGTGTTCCCCCACCAATTTAGATTGACACCGCCCCGAGGGAACTGCAGCGTGAAGAAGATGAAGAGCACCGACAGCACCGTTCCGCAGTCGAACGCCGCCGTCAACACGTAGTTGAACTTGCTCCACCATTCGAAACTGCGCCGCCGGACGAGGAATTGGAAGATGAAACCGACCAGGAACCACGACGAGTAGTTGATGCCCGTCGCTGGTGGAATGAGTCCGATGCCGTTCAGGACAATCGGCAGGTTGATGTACTTGTTCCACTTGTTCGGTTGCTTGCGCTGCCAGAGCCAGAAGGGCAGCGGCAAGATTCCTCCGATGGCGATGGCGTACAGCTGTGGATGGTAGATGGATTGCGTTCCGAACTGACGCGCGGGCCCAATGAGACCCCAGATCGCAGACGTCGTGTAAAGCACTTGATTGTGCGGGCACGTCAGGAAGTCCCTTTGACCGGGTTGGCAGATGTCTTCGATATGCGTGAACATCCACTCCTTGACCGCGACTTGGAGCAGACCGACAAGCGTTGTCGACACAAGCTGCACAGAAAAGGTGGCCCGAGGCGGAAGCTTCACGTAGTGACCAAGCTTGAGATCTTGAACGAACGCGGTGCCCTCTGCCAGAGTCTGTACGGCGTAAGCCTTGAAGATCTACGCGCAAAGGAGTCAGTCGAAAGATCAGCGACGTAAGTCGATACTGATTACCATGTTGGGGAGCGGCTTCCCGGGCAGGATCATGCCAGGAATGATCTGCGCGAGCAGGTTGATAGTGATCTGTGGAGGGTGTCAGCGATTCTTCACTATATCCAATGAATTGGACTTGCATTTTGACCCGTCAACGCATAGACGTATCCTGACGGCACCATGTACGTTACAGGCAGAGCGATGGCGAGCAACAGGGCCCAGACCGGGATGTCGGTGTGCCAAACCTCTGCTGTGACGATGGCAAGCGCGAAGCAGGCGATGAACGTCATCATATACCACCAGTCAGGCACCTCCGGGTACGCGCGCATGAGCTTCGCGTGAATGTCGTCCTTCTCAATCCGAGTCTGGGTCAACCCGTGAAGCAGGGTGCGGCCGTGGTAGAGCAGCGTATGCACGATCATGGCCGACGACAACGCGAATGCGACCAGGTAAGTGATGGCGTAGGAAGCCGGGAGATACAACGGGGAGTAATTGTTGTACCCCTCCTCGTCGAATGTATGATCGGGGGTGAGCACTCGCGTGACATCGTACGGCTTCCCGTAGCGGTCGTACGGCGAATTCGCCATAATCGGGAAGTAGGAAAGGTCCCAGGACTGATGATCAATCAGTTACAGAGGACTTGAACGAGGGAAAGGAAAGCGAGCACTTACGTTTGTGTAGTACAAGATAGGACACAACACCCAATACACGATGAAGAAGCCTGCGAAGATTTGCACCTCCGCCCACCACGGAACCATGAGCGGGCTACCAATCCAGGTGATCTGAGCCCAGTCGAACGTCAAGACACTCATACCAAGACCAGCAGAGACGCCGAAAAGCTGGTTGACAACGATGTCCTGCGGCTTTGCCCAACAGACGAACGAGAAAATCGACAACGCCGTGAAGAGATAGCCTGCCAACCGACATGAGCAAGTCGAAGCGCACATTTTACGATCACGTACCCGGAAGGAACGCCCAGAAGAAAGCCCCGACAGCTGCGTAGCAAAAGAACCTGAACCGCGAAACGCCGCCCCGCGCATCCTCTTCCTCAGCATGGAGAGTATTCAACAGCGTGCAGATGATGAGGTTTTGCGGCCACACCATACTAGCGGGCCAGACCAGGTATCGCCTACAAAGGCCCGCAAGCGAGAAACCGGTAAGTTGGGTCGCAAGGATGAGCAGCGCGTTGAAGCCGTAGCCGAGTTTGACCCCATAATTGAGCTCCGCGACGACAACCGCGTTGAGCGCAGTCGGGACACCAATCGATACGTTAGCCATAATATACACCAGGGCATGTTCCTTGATGTTCCAAGGTCCAGGATTTAGTGAGAACTCGTAGCCACCAAGCCATTGTGGGAGGCGATATGCTCGTATTGGCATGGTGAGGGCGAGTAGTTTGCCGAGCGGGTGTGCGATGAGGAGGAGAACATTCGACACGATTGATGGTGCTGGTTGTCGGAAATTGAAGAACAAATTCGCACACCTGTTGACGGTACTTCTCAGCGGACGCAGTCGACAAGAGCCACAACGCACTTACCCTGCTGCGAGCGTGAGCGTTAGCCCGATGAGCCACATACGTGGTGTCATGCATGGCATCTCCGGATCGTCGATATTTGACACCGACGCTCGGACTTCTGGGTATGGACTATCCTCGTCTTCATCCGCCTCGAAGTCAAACTCCATCCTTCAGCACAAAGTTAGTTAATGCGCAGATAGGCATCATAGAAATCACATGGCGTCGCCGAAGACATAGAGAAACGATGAACGAGGGAAGTGAAGGTAGACCTCCTCAGCCTCCTAACAACAAGGCCGAAAACGATATGAATCGGTACGATAGTGGAGGTCATACGAGAATCCCGATTACAGCTGCGAAAAAGGGAATGCCTTCCTCGAGACACGAATGGAGGGTGGGAAAGTCGGAAGAGTGTCTCAAGAGTCCACAAAACGATGTATGATCCCTCTCAATGAATTTCGGAATACTCACTTGATTGAAGCCGAGTCCGCGACACTCGGGAAACTCGTAGATCTCGCCGTGGATGGCGGTCTGTCCTTCCCTTTCCCCCGGTCACTATTTGGCAGCGATACGTGCACTTCGCGGGAACTGATGGCTGAACTCACACCCGTGAACCGACCTGTCCCTGTAGTTGGGACAGTCGATGCGGACGGGGGAGCGATTCTGCGCATGCGGTAGGCACCATCTTGGTCCTGGTTCTGGGAGTCCGTCGAGGGGGGGATTCGACAGGACTGAGGGGATAGGGTGTTCGGTGATATGCTTGTTGGGAAGGACCTGCCAAGGGGCCGACGCGATCGACACTAGACGGGTCGAACGTAGGAGGTGGGGGAGTTATCGGAGACATAGCGGTAGGAGGAGGACCGAAGGCAAAGACGTCGCCGGCGTCGGACTCATCGTCCTCGTCTTCTTCATCGACGGAGTTGTCATACGTGTACTGTGGCCCGCGGTCGAAGTAACCCGCGGTGTCGGGTCGACCTGTTGAGGGACGGGCTGAGTCCGGCCTGCCTGCGCTGGACATCGGGCGGAACGGCATGGAGGAGGGGGAGGACGGTGGTGAGAGGGGGGGAACAGAGGGAAGAGTCCGACGCAGACCATTTGGAGTCCGCCTTCCCTCCCAGGCACATCAGCCCGTACCTGAATATCCATATACGGCATGTCTGTTAATACTTGGGTCCTCCAACTTATCGCCTCTTAATCCGCTATTTCTTCCCTGCCATCCCCTCTCACGCCCACGACTCCCAAGCACACATCGCCCACCGACCCGCAAAAATACGCAGAGCACGTCGCCCTCTCCGCGGGCATCTGCAGTCCAGCATCGGCAGAGATGCACCGAGTGATCGCCAAGCGCCGCGCCTCTATCGCGAGCAGTGCTCTCGTCCCTGGGCGACTCTCGCTCTCGCTTATGACTACTTACTTATTAACAGCACCGTGGCACGTTCGCTGTTCGCAACCCACCTCCCGAACATGAAACACACCATATGCACCATGCCATGCCTGACGTTCAAACGTAGCAAACCCACAGAAGCACCAGGTATCATGTATGGACGTTCAGACGCACATGGAAGATCACCGCAATGTGGCTGAGGCACCACTGGCACGGCATGCCTAGACTAGAGGAAAGTACCTATCCTGTCCTCATCTTCCATGGACCTTTCATGTCCAACTTGACGGTAAACATTGAAGGCTGAAAGCAAGTTCTATGCCGTCGGTATTTACCTGGTAGTAGCCTTGCCCAGTCTTAGGTAAAACTGGCGATAATTGTAACAGCACCCGTATAATATATGGGCATGTGGTGTAGTTGGTTATCACGCTCGCTTAGCATTTAAGCGTGCGAGAGGGGTCCGGTTCAATCCCGGACATGTCCATTTTGCAAGTCTCACTAACGACGATACGTACAGAACGTCCTCTTGTCTTCAGCACATATATCGCTCCCAAAGATCCTAACTGTTACGGACATAGTCCTGTAGTAGCCGTGTTGCACAAGTTCACAACACGTCCGTTATGGCGTCTTCCAAAGGTCCAACGTCCCATCATAGCAACATATCATATGCTGATTGCGCAAGTTCACTTATGATCGTTCCGCAAACCCATCCGAAAATAACAGCATTGCACGAGGCCATATATCATCATCGAGCAGGACGTAGCGGCACGCCCAAACTTCGTGTTCCTCCAACAATCTTCTTGAAGTTCTTCGGCGCAGTGCTCACTGCCATCCAGGCACGACAGCTGAGCGCTGAGCCGCCGTGTATAACTGCCCAGAACCCTTGATCTTCGACACGCCGACAGACCGATGCGCGGAAACAACCTGGTGAAGCTGATGACGGAGGAGCTGGGCATGACTGACATCGTGTGTATATTTTGTAGTGTTGACAGCATTCGAATTCGACGTTGGTTACCGCTAGGCTTGTTGACTTGACAGGCACACACCTGCAGTAAGAGGAACCCATATAAAGCCGAAAATGAGGACTTCGAAACCGTGTTAGGCCAAACCCTGCAGGGCGCATAGTGCCGGAGTAGCACTACTACTTAAGCACGTTGATTCTTGCAGCACGGTCTTGTGCCAGAGAAGGCCCTGAGAAGGTGAGAAGCTTGCTAGAACGAGGATATACCGTAAGTGTGCGTGCCTGGAATGGCATGCCACGAGTACGCTCGCTACACCGGTCACTGACCGTCTGTAGTAGAATTCGTGACATATATGTGGAGGTGCCAGTGGCGTACCTGAAGACAAAAGGTGAGTAATTATTAAGAAAGTTCGGAGGTACATCCACCCGGCCAGTAACCCGAGAACCGAAGCACGATCACCCCGCCGATATGTGGGCGCAGCGACGTATCATGTATGCATGTACATATACGTACTCATCCGGATACGCCTCAGCGCCACCCCTTGCGCGCGGCTCTCGACGTCAGCCGTCAGGAACGCGAGCTTGACTGCGCGCCTCGAGTTCGTGTATCGAAAGCCGGTTCCCTGACCCAACGTGTGCGCTCAGGCTCGAGCCCTGGGCTCGGGGTCCTTCAACCGCCTGTCGCCCAATAGCCCCGAGGAGAACACGCGGCGGGCATTGAGGCACATGAGAATCGCCGCCGCCGCGTATTCGGGCGCGACGTGGAGGGCATAAAACAGGGCCTTGGACGTCGACGAGTTGAGCGAGCCCGGAGCCGTAGAAAAGAGGGAGGTCGTGGAGTACCGCATCACCGCTAGGCGGTAGATCCCTATGATGGACTGTGGGGGGGACGTCGGCGCTCGTCAGCCGCTCATTCAGGGCGGTGTGTAGAGACACGGGGCTTACGAGAAGCGTAGTGACCACGACGATCCATACTGCGGACCTTTTTGGGACACGAGGCATCGCAAAACACGCCCATGCGGCGCCCAGTCCCAGTCCGACTAGCAGGAACAGCGCGAGCGCAGTGCTGCCGTATCTAACCCAGACAGTTCAGCGCCGAGGACACACAACACAACAGAAACAACGGAGCAATACATACCTCAGCTGCTGCACCAATTGTGCATGCGCCCCGGACTTGACAGCGTTTTGATAATCGGCCCCAGAGATGATGCCCAGGATTAAGGACACCAAGAAGAGGATTGTCGCAGCCCCGCAGCCCCGGCGGATCCAGAAGCGCGTTCGCGGATGATCCTCGCGTCCCGGGCCGTCGATGATCAGAAGTTGGAATCCGGAAGGTTCTGCTCCTTGCATTGTGAGCGGGACCTGCCCGCCGTCTGATTCTACGCCGGCTTGATCCAACGATTTACAGTGTGAGTGATGGAGCATGTCCGATCCATACGTGGCGTGGACCAAAAGCGCACGAGTAAGAGCGACGATGTCTTGACCGATGGATATGAAGCCGTTGTTGAGTGTCGTCTGAAAGTACGTCTCTAGGCTCAAGTTTGCACGGGCACCGGCCACATGTGCTGTGTAAGCTCGGAGGGCGAAGGAGACAACGCTGTAGGGCGAATATGGTGTTAGCTGTGAGTACATAGATCTTTGGAAAAGTCAAAAAATATGAGACGCACTGCTCGAGCCCCAATAGGGCGGTACCTATGAGCACGTAAGTGCGCGACTTCTGGGAGACGATTCGCCAGAGTGCGATGGGCACGAGTAGACCGTAGAGTGTGGCGAATGTCACCGAAGGTGCGAGATCAATGTCGAATGGCACTCCACCAACAGGGGAAGGAAATTCGCGCGTAGCGTTAGAGGACATGGCAGTTGGTGCCAGGAGCTCGAGCAGGGAGCATACGCAGAACTTGGACAACTTTCCCAAATATACTGGGAGGGGAGGGGGTCCTAGTCTTCCATTTTAGCTGCTTGTCCAGATATGCAAATCCTTCTGTGCCTGCTGCGACGTTGGGTAGAATTGACATCAGAATCGCAGTTGCGCAGCCGCATAGCCATTCGCCCGAGTACATACCCACATGCTGAACTGCGCTTCTGAAGAACTCATGAACGGAGCCAAATTGTCTCATTTACTGCAAAGATAGATGGGTCAATCAACCTGGTGCATCACTATTTGTGCTGAACTAGTACCATCTAACCAAGGGCCGATTTGTTGTCATCTTGTTCTCCAGAAGGCGGCCAATTCCTATCGTTGTCGGAAGCAGCGCGCTGAACAACAGTACTGCGCCATGTCATCGGCAGTGAGCTTCGTCAAAGGTATTTGACTGAGAAAGCGAGTACCGAGCTCTGATGGTGCTGTACTGCGCAGCCCGGCCCGTCCTGTGGGTGGATCGGTTTCGTGGCATGGTTTGGAAAGAGCGCTTTAGCTGCAGGTCCCGCGGAGCAGTACCAGGAATTGCAGTAGAGTTAGATATCGTTGTGTTGGACGCAATCGGTCTGTGATGTGTAGGTAGTAAGTACTACTACTACTACTTACTAGTATCAGTGCCTGTTACTGAGAAGCGAGTTGATGAATGAGCGCCCCGGGCCTTGAAGCACCGTGTAACAACGAAGTCGCCGTGCATCCACAGTCAGTGTATCGCCACGTACCAATATTTGCTGTTGTAGCTGCGGATCGGAACAATCGGACCATTGATATATTGTCGAGATGCACATTGCGCGGGCAGCCCTTTGGACGATAATGTTAAAGTTCAGCCGCTTCAGCGTAACCTGTCACAGCACGTGGCACAAACGCCCGTAGTAAAGCGTGGCATGAGCGCTATTGAAACTCAACCAAGCTCTAACCACGGCCACCATCACAGCATTGTGATTGCGTGATCATACGCGGCAAGGACCTTCCTGTTGTCCAGCTCCGTGCCAAATTCGACTAACAAGGGGTTAGGCTATAAAACATGGCACAGCGTCTACAGTATGTCTTCTTCTCTACCACAACCAACCATCCCTCTCTTCCCTCTAGTCCGTAATCGACATGGCTGACGCTGCCCATAATGGTGCTGAAGCCAACGCACAACAACCCTCCCACTATCCAAAGGCACCCAAAGCAAGTCCCATCAAGCAAAATTCCCTTTTCAGCGCCACCGAACTCTCCGCCGTCAGCCAGCTCCTCGCTCCGCAATGCCAGGAAGGAGAACGTCTTACCATGGACGGCAAGGTGACTCTTGTTGAGTACGACTACATGATGGAGGAGTACGTCCGTTCGACCACAGGATGCCCTGAACCCTCGGACGAGGGATTCGCCGCAAAATTCAAGTTCGATAGCACCGCCGTCAATCGTGAGGCGGAGTTGAACAAGAAATTGGTGAGTTCTAATATCATTTATAGCAATGTTTGTCTTAATTGCGCTGACTCTTCTTGACATGGCTATCGTCTCCCTAACCATCGTCATCAAACGCATTCATATGTTCCACGTCCCGCATGTCGTTCTCCTACCACACGCGGTCCACAAGTCATGGTTAACCGATCACCGCGACCACGAATACCGCCTCCTCGCTACTCCAAATAAGGTCGATCCTTCTGATAGGACCAAGCAGAGGATGGACATATCGCTGTTCGACAAAGACGATGTTCCCGAAGCAGGAGAACCTGCCAACTATGCTGTGGTTGAACTGTCTGCAGAGTGCAAGCCTGCAGAAGAGGCTGACGATCCCTTCGACGACAACGCGCGAAACTATCAGGCCACTTCTGACCGGCGCCGGGCGAACTTTGGCCAGATCATCTCGTATGCTGCCCTTGTCTTCGCCAAGCAACAGCGCACCCACTACTTCACTGTCCTCTTCCTTGGCGCCATGGCCCGTATCGTTCGCTGGGATCGCGGAGGGGCGATCGTCACCAAGAAGTTCAACTACACCGAGGAGCCTGGAAAGCTCGGCAGATTCTTCTGGCATTTCGTCCGTCTCTCGGAAGCACAACGTGGTCATGACACCTCCGTCGCTCATGTTAAAAGCACGAGCGATGACTATCAACTCATGCGGGCCCGTGCGGACAACCCGAGGCTCGAGGGTGATGGTGATGTGAAACATGCAATAGGCGAGCACGCGCGGCTCCTCTTCAAGGAGTCACTGAAGAGCAACGTCCCGTGGTACCGGATTCGGGTAAGCGGCAAGCAGGATGGCCGCGACTTCCTCGTCGGGGCTCCCCACTTCATCTCGCCAGGACTTGTCGGTCGCGGAACGCGAGGGTATGTCGCTATCGACTGCTCCGATCCCCAAGGGCCGTTCGTATACCTGAAGGACGCTTGGAGGGTTGCCCACGAGTCGATCGAGCAAGAGGGCTCCATCTTAGCATACCTCAACGACGAGAAGACGGGAAAGGTCGAGCGTGTCCCGACGCTTGTGTGTCACGGCGACGTGGAGGATCAGAAGACGGTATCCCAGGACGTTTGGAAGATCCACCATCCCGACGCGACGGACTGCCCTATCAAATTCCATCGTCATTACCGACTGGTGGTGCAGGAAGTCGGACTCCCCATGTGTCGG